AGATAATTGAATTTTCCCATGATATATACGTATTGCATTAATGTGCGGTGTTAATAGTCAGGCATGACCACTGTGACCTTGCTGAAAACAAAATTAGAAGCCTTTAATGAATGGCTTTTTGTCAGACCATTACCAGGAAGTCCATTAATTTACCTTTTATTTCCACTGAACACTGTGTTGTTATCAAAAACAGGATCCCATTACTCCAAACCAACTTCTGCAGACCTTTATCTTTGTTCACGGGGGCTCACACATCGTCATGTTCTTTTACCAGCTACTGACACATCAAACAAAAATGCATGAACTATCACTTGAAACTAAAAATATCACTTGGTCTTTATTGATCAGAGGATGGGTATGTTTGTGGGGCAGAGAGAGAGAGAGAGTGAGAGCTTAAGAGAAAGTGTAAGAATCTGTGTTGCAGAGATCAAGAGCTTATACAGGCATCAGCTCCCCGGAAGGTGTTACCTTGTATAATTGTTGACTTTCTTTAGGCGGAAATAAGCTTGGTCTTGGTGCTTTAATTAGCCATCCTTTGTCTGTATCGTGTGTGGAGATTAGACCTGAGCCTTGTCTGACATGATATCATTTGATGGAGTGTGTGAATCCAACACAGACATGCAATTACACACACACACACACACACACCCCACCCCGACACACAGACACACACAGATATATATATATATATATATATATGCACATGCATGAACACAACACAGCTGTGTTCATGCATATACCTTGTAATGGCTTCCAGACCAATGTAGCAGTGCACACATTATTTCAATTGTCTCATTGATTTTACTATTCACCAAGAATTGACACATTCAGTCTATTTCCTGTTGTCTCCGTCTTTTTTCTTGGTCTTTAGGGAGAGAAGGAAGCATGAAACTTCACACAAACATACAGCCAATGGGGTGGGGAGATGGAACAGGGTAATTGGAACCCTGAGTGGAGTAAGAGGCTTGTGATCCCTTTGAGAGTGGCTGGCATATGTCTGTGTTAACTTCCAGCTGTCCTGACTGAGAGCAAGCTAATTACATCATGTTTGTATCCTGCTAATTAGTAGCCTAATTAAAACCACATAAAGGCCTTAGAGGGGGTGGATGAAAGTAGGGACAGCTCTGGACATGTAACCTGTGTTCTTTAAAAAGGCCAGCCTCAGAAGTGGTCAGTTTTTCCTTTGGAATACCCACATAGCAGGGGGACATGTGTGATTACGTGAATTTAATTAAGATTATTAATGTTGTTTTCTTGTGTATGCAAAACTTTCAAAGCAGCATGGACAGACCAACACAAGTCAGTCACATATGTTATAAGTTGGTTTCCAGCTTTAGGACATTGAAAGTAGGGCCGCTCCCAGTGAAAGATTTTCATTGTTGGCCTGTAGTTGTTAGTTAACACCATTAGTCAATTAGTCGTTGCATGTTTATGATATTCATTTCATTCTTTAAATATACACATTTTAACAGCTGCCTGTTAAATGATAACAGCAAAAGCGGTAATGATTCTGATTGTGTCAGAACAACACACAAGTCTTGTTGTTCGAAATGGAATAAATAACTTCCAGCTTCACAAAAACAAATACAGCACTCATCGATATGATGAATGATTTATAACATTAACAGTTACCGACAAATGAACTCGCCACAAATTCTCTCCCGTTTCACACCTCTCCTGTCCCAGGCCTGAACCTGCTGTGTCTTCATCGTCCCCCGAGTCCTGGTTGGAGCTGCTGTAAATCACTTGGCCTCTGTTGGTTTCGGAGGCTGTGAACCTGGTCCTGTTGCTCACTCTCCCGGGTCCGGTTCTGCTGCTCCTTCTCCTGTGCTAGTAGTGTAACCAAACATACCCCTGGCCTACAGGCTCCATGTTGCAACAGTCCCTTGATACTTTAGTCTCAGTGACAAGGCGCAGCTTCCAAACGTTTGACAAGTTTTAGGTCTTTTTTTTTTTTTATCCGACTAATGAGAGACCCTCTCAGCAAAGTAATCTTGACTTATCAAAGAGAAGTTGTCCAGTCTGAAACTGCCAGAATCACCCCCGGCTTCTCATGTCTTCTCTTTCCAACAACTTGAAGCTCATTCAGGGGCAAGAAAGGCATAGAGGAGCTTTTCTGGCTATAGTGCATGTGCAAACACAACACTCACACAACTCACACTCATACACGAAAGACAGTGGGTGTATTTCCTTGAGGTAAACAAATCCTCTTTCTCTCTCCAAAACTCTAAATCAGACTCAGGATGCATCTTGTCAGCTATTGGCTTGTCTCTGTACATCACATTAGCCCTGCACGGTGTTTGTGCTGCCTGGAAATGTGTGATGTGCTCTGAGGCAGAGGAGATTCCTTGTCGTCCAGTGACATAGGTTCTCTGAGATCTTGAGAAGTATAAATAGCCAACAGCTACACTTCTACCACACACTGCCAGCCTGCATGTTGAGAAGGAAGGACCCCTGACCACAATATTTGCCAAGTTTTTCCTGGGCCCTTGCCAGTTTGTCATAACTCCCACTTTAGCTAAACCCTTGGCTTTGCCTATGGAGATGAAGAACTCCCCCACTTTTGTGCTGTTTTCATGGCAGAGGCTTTGTCAGAGGCTGCTGCAGGCACGTGGAAGAGCACAGTTGCTCCTTCAGATACATTAAGAATGTTGCTCTTTTGTGAAAACAATGCTAAAGAATTTGCTGGAGAATTTGAGTTGCTTCTCGACCACTGGATAGAGACTGTGCAGAAGTAAAGCACATGTTCCCAGTGACGAAAAAAACCCTACTCTTGGCTGCACAGCAGCACTCTTCCTTTGTTGCCATCAAGAAAGCGAGCGGTCAGTTTTGAATGCCGGCAGAAGAAGTGATGAGGATTGGTTTGGAGTCTGGCAGCAAAAGCATCCATAGCTATCCGCCACTTTCATGCAAAATGATGTCTCCAACTTATGGCTGAAAGCCATCGAACGACTAATGGTTGTTTGCAGTGCAAGTGTTTGAAGGGGTGTGAGCAGCAGAGTGAATTACAGTCCTCATTTAAACAAACACACAAAATCATGTTAAAGGAGCATAATGAGTTTTCACAAGTAACAGCTCAGATGTGTGTCTGTGTCTACAAAACAAACACTTGAGCATTGCTGAAATAACTATATAATACATTATGACAACAACAAAAATACAGAAAAACAATGACAATAAAATAAAATGACAGTCAACATTTTGCTCTTGTTGTGAAAATTGTGGGCTTTTATCATCAAATAAAGAATAATGACATACAAAAGTTGGCCCTATGACCACTCTCGCAGCCACTCAGGCAGGTGTGAAGAACGTCTCTTAAATTAAGATGTAAGTGATGTGACTGCAATTACTTTCAAATTGCTGCAATGTCACTGCATTTGACCGCACACTGGACTGATTCAGGTTCTACAAAGCAAAGTGTAAAAGTGAACATTTTGAGATGAGGAACAGAAACGAAAGAAGAAAAACGACTTTGTACCAGGCAGAATGTTGGATAACTTGCAACATAGATTGAGACCAAATGCTAAGGAAGACTATATAAATACACAAACAATATATATATATAGTCATTTGTACACTTGCCACATTTTGCTTATGTCATCATGGATTTGTTGAATCTCTTATTTCCACTGTTATTATGACAGATACCAAAACAAGGCTCTCAGTGCCAGTGCATGCTCCATTACCAATTGCAATGAGGCAAAACATGTTAATAATATTGATTATACTGTGTAATGACAAAAAATGAAGTGGGTAGATGATCTAGCGGATGTTTTTCCACCACTTCATAGAACAATGCATTTCTGTCTAGGTGTGTGCGTCTGCCTGTGTCAAAGGCTTGTTATATGCCTCAGTGTGTGTGTATGTGTGTGTGTGTGTGTGTGTGTGTGTGTGTTGCTTGCTCCAGAGTTCACATTAATGTGTTCCCAGCACAGCCTGAGCCTTTGCCGCGAGTTGTTTCTGTTTTTGTGCTCTGTTCAAATTGTCTAAGGTATGACAATTTCCGCAGCTGTCTTCACTACACTCACATCCACCTGAGAGGTAGATAAAGAGTTGAGTGAAGACTTATCAGCCTGTTTGATAACGTTTAAATAAAAGTTCTGCTCAGGGCATACTCGTCTGAGCCCTGCGTTACAGAGATCTGCTTCACGCTGACAACAATCTCAGCTTGAGCAGCGAAAAGTTGAGCTGGGATAATTCCGAGCAGGCTCTGAAAGCTTCAGAAAATTGCTTAGCCCGGCAAAACTCACAGCATTTGTGTTATTAAGGCAATGTGGATTTACCTGTAGCCAAGTCGCGAATAGGCTCTTTTAAAAGGTTAAGTTGTGAAGTAGAGGCTTTTTTCTTAGCACAAAATGCTTTAAGAGGCAAACCTGGATGACTGTGCCTCTGCAGCTTACAGTGTGGAGATCAATTCAAAGCTTGTGGCTCTTAAATGAGAGTAAAATGTCAAAATCTCTTACTAATTTGCAACATCTCAACAAGCTTGAGTTGACCTGTGGGAAAGGGTTGACATTTAAAGGTCCAGAATCATTCACTTGTCATGGTTTCTAATTTACTGTGATACAAATATGATGTGTTAGAACTGAGCCTTTTTATTTCAAATAGATGAGGGGTGTAACTGCATATTACTTTGGGAATAAATAGAAAATGTAAGCACATGTTCAAGTGTATTGAAACATTACACAATGTTTTGTTTATCACTTTAAATTGACATAGGTTGGTGTAGTTAGTAAATATAAGGGTTGCTCCCATTATTCGTTGCATCATTTTATAGTATTTGGAACTCAATAGCTAATTTGGCCAGTCTTCCAGACCCCAGTCCACCAATATGACTATTATGTGAAAAAAGAAAATGCTCTTTACATTCAAGCTTCTTAATTTTTTCTAAAAGGTCCAGTGTGTAACATTTAGGAGGATCTATTGACATGAATTGAATATAATATGCAAAACTATGTTTTCATAAGTGTATAAGAATCATTGTGTTTTTGTTACCTTAGATTGAGCCCTTTATATCAACAGACGCCCTGGATCGCCTTCCATGGAGGCTGCAATGTTGAACTGCCATGCTGGAAAGATGTAAAAAACCTTTCCCTCTCTTGCTGGCATGTGTCATGTAATGAACTTACACATACTGAAACAGTTATAGTTTGTTTTCCAGTCATTGTTCTGATGCCGATCAATGCTTGACTAAAAAATCTACATACAGTGGCAAAATATGTTTAGGTTCAATTGAACACATTTTTTTATTTAATTATTTCAGCTTTAATTGACACTTTCCAAATGAACACTTGTAAGAGTTTTCTGTGCTTGGCTTTCATTTAATCTATGTAAGACATTAGGGAAGTCACTCCAGCCTTCTAAGCTATCTAAGCACATGAGATTTCATCATCTGCTTAATTGCTTACCCTAATTTGCTTTGCTGGCACTGTCACAGCCCCATTGTACTGTTATCAAATCACTGGGCACTGTAATTAACTTTACATTGTAACCACCGCCTCTGTAACTGGCACAGACCGGCTGTTAAATGGCTTTAACTTTATTGTCTTTTTCCCTGTCCTTGCAGAATGAGTATACATGTCCACGCCCCCTACCTGGTGCCTGGCTGGGAGATGTGCCTACCATCCATTAACCCCCCCAAAAAAGGAACTGCTTTGGATGGTGCAGCAAACCACGTTGAAACAGGGATACAGGAGAGAGACATATGCAGACAACTCATCAGGAACCTACTCCCATAATTCACATTCAAGGATACATTTTAAATGGTCCTCCATGCTAACAAGGGCAACCTATGACCAAGACCAAGAGGAGATAATACTGTCTTTTTCTTTTTCTTAAGATTTTATAATGTCTCTTTTTTTGGCTTGTGGTCTTTGGTCATCAGTTTTGCTGCATTCCACCATGCTTCATCACTACACAAATACTGACACAGACGGTAATGGAAATGGACCAGAGCCTTGGAAGAAGACTCATGCGCATTATTGGATGGTTATAACCAACATGGGAGCTTACTGTATAGACTATTATAGCTTATTGTCTCCATGAGGACAACTTGGCATTGTTGTAAACACAAGCAGGACTGTACAAATCCAAGAGGCTTTAAAAAAAAGGTATAAACTGAGCAATGAATTATTGATGAAAATGCACTGAACAAGCAGCTCTGACTGCTCTGCTAACACAGCTGTGTATAATTTAAAGTTGGTTTCCATAGTTTGATTCCATATGAAACATCATGTTATCATCTTTCAATACTTTTTTTAAAAAGACTAATCAAAAGCTAGGATGGTGTAAATGTGCCTCACTGGAGCAGAGAAATTACGAAAGGACTCACTGAGTTTCTGTGCACCTGTCTGTCCGTAAAGAGGAATCAGGTGGAAATCAAGTCAGCAGCTGGAAGATTGCTTGAAGTCTGCGAAAGGTTCCCAGAGGAAAGCAAACTATCCCCCAGCCAATGACTGTTGGTGAAGTTTTATTTGTTTGTTTGCTTTTTTAAAAGTTATTTTTCTTTCTAAGTTGATTCTAATTGCAATCAAACCTCGACTGTCTAGTTTGATTTGGAGGAGAAAAAGGCCAATCAGAAGCAGAAAGGAGAGGGAAAAAAGAAAAAGCTTCTATCAAGGGTAAAATGTAATTTTCTGAAATTATAATGTTGTTAATGTTGTACTTAATGAATATGTGTTCCTGCCATTTTCAACACCAAATACCAAAGAGCCAAAATTGAGCATTTTTGGCTATTGGCTCTCCCAACCATGAGTTGTAACAGACCCAGGATTTGCTCTCCACGAAAAAAGAAAAAAAAGAAAAAAAAAATCAAAAGAACAACTTTCCTCTCATATCCAGCAGTGCTCCGTTACCGGATTGGCTTTTTTTCATGTGTGTAATGTGTACGTCTTTGTGAACAAATGATCTTGCAACGACGGTCTTCATTAGGAAGATCCTGTCTGAAAGATAACTTTGAGCACTGCTTACATTTTATGACTTCTGTTGAATACATGCTTCACTCTCCCTGACATAATCAGCCCGTCTCTCCCCTCGAAGAGACTGCAGATGTTGCTGTGCGCGGTTTCGCGTGTGCTTGTGTTTCATTCGTTATGAGTTCTTAATTATATTTGGGACGCACTGAATTGTGAATTGTTTGTTTCAACCTTCAAACATAATCTTTCTACACCGGAAAATGGTAATTTTCTATTGTAAATTTCTGCTTTCCCCCTTGGATTTGTTGATATTTAGTAAGCAGCTGTATTCTTTGTTCACTTTCAACAGTATGTTTTATAATGAAAATGACTTTATTGGTGAGCAATATGAATTGGTCAGATTAAAATATTCATCAATCATTTTTCGTGTTGAAGCTCTGTGTGTGTATGAAGCATTTTCTTATTATGTGTGTGTTTGTGTGTGTGTGCACTCGCTGTCCACTGTAATTTAATAAGCTTGTACCTTGTTCCACGTCTCCATTCACACCCGTTGGAATCTGTCCTATTCCCCGCAGATCTGCGGTGACGAGGCTGTCACATCAACATTAGCCTCATTAATTTAGAGAGCAGAACATCGATCTCCGTTTGACCGTTCTGTTCACGGTGGCGCTCAGTGTGGGCCCCACCAGCCCTCTAATTACGCTTCTTGTGTAATGTGTTGCATATCTCAAGAGGGGGCCCTGCTTAGTGAGTTTGCTCCATGTTCGCTGCACTTGGCACATGTCAAGCTGTCAACTCAGAGATCCAGATGGCCAATCTGCCTGGTGCTCCCCTGTGGTATTTTCACATACTCCTCTCTACCCATCTCCCCTTGCTGCCACATTTTCTCCCCTTGCTCATCTCGTCCTCCTTACTGCTGGGTGCCCACATCTCACTCACTTTCGGTCTCTTCCCATTATTCATGAGGTTTTTGGTTAGCCTGTTGTATATCTGTTTCACTTTATTCCCTGCTTCCTCTCCATCGGTTTTAAAGGGTCAGTTCACCCAAATTACAGTAAAGGATTTTCATCTGATCCCTGGTTGTATCTAGTCATGCAGATAGTTTCAGTTTTACACCCAGTTGCCCATAAATGGGATGAACAAAAAAGTAGACAGATTCAATAGAAACTGATTGTTGTACCCTTCATGAAAATAGGATTTATTGCATGGTATGCGACTGCATTGGATCCAGCAAGGAATGTTTAATAAAATGACAACTGAAAGATGTCAGATGCTCAGAGAGCAGTGAAAAATATTACACTATCAATACACTATCAGCTTGACCTATGGCATGCATGGATGTATAAAGAGAACTGGTTAGAGCGTTGGAGGCGGTGTTCCGTTCATTCCTATAAAAGCTGCTCAGTGGCACATGAAGCCAAAACTTCCTGCTGCAAAGAAATTACCCAAATGAATGCGCACGAGAAACTTCCGTAGACCGAAGCAGCAAACATTCGGTTTAGTCCTCTGTTAAGTTCAATGGGGATAAATCCTGTAATCTTGCAAATCTACTAGACTTTAAAAATGGACTGAATGGACCAAATTCTGATAGTGAAACTTGTCATTTTGTGGAGGGCTGTAATTACATGGTTTGGCCAGTATGTCAAATTGTCTTCTAAGCCTGGCACTCTTCCTGGGGGCTTGATGGCATACCCTTTTGACTTATCAGTAAACTAAGCTACAGTAGCAGCGTTATGTTGTTTACTTTGATAATGGAAGACACTAGTAAGCAAAGCCGTCTTGAATAGACAATCGCAACACTAAAAATCTGGGAAGCGGTGTGCTTCTGTCGACTCTGTACAAAGCAGCTGTCTAACTCTACGACGACAATTTATCTTAGCTTGTATTAGCATGCCACCCAAGTGAGGCAGTGGAGCGGAGGCACCACAGACGAGCGGAGCAACAACAGGCCCGGCTGCTATTATTCTACACACTCCGGCCCCTTGCCAGAAGCTCATAAAAATGCCAGCACCAGTAAGATTGAGTGAATGTCTTATAGTATAGTTGCACATGCATATTTTCGTATGTGGTGTCGTACATTTGGATTTTATGTTTTGAGATAATTTTTTCAAATTCATTCTAACAAATGGCGTACTATTTCAGATTCAGATTATTGGAAAAAGTGACAGCCCCATTCAGGGCTCTAGTATGTGTCAAGGCCCTGAGATTTCAGCTTCCATCCTAATACAATAGGGATGAATGGGATTTTGTTTGTGGCAGGCTAAACATTGAAAAACATCATTTAGTTCCAATGAGAGCACTGACAGTGAAGTCTGTGAGTTATCCAGAATAACTGGGACATGTTCTTGTAAAAAATACACTTTCCTGCAGAATTTGTCAAATGTGATTTTTCAATGCTTTAGGGAGCACAGACACAATTTCATTCACCTCCATTGTTTTTGGTCAGCAAAAAGAACCTTTATGATGGATTTACACATACTGTAAAACTGAAAACTATCCGTGCGGCCAGACACTACCAATACTGAAATGATTAGCTGACTACAAAACAAAATACATTCAATTTAAAACAGAGAAAGGAGATGTTATTGAATTTAAATCTTTGCTTGAAGATGACGATTAACTGATTATCAAAATAATTCCTGATTAATGTTTTACCAGTTAAACAATCAACTAATTGTTCCTGAACTGGGGTTATTGTGAGTGTCTTGACCACTGGACAACCAGTAGGCCCCGATCGACACATATCAACAATTATCATTATCACTTAATCATTTAAGTTGTTTATTAAGCATAAATTGTTCCAGCTTCTCAAGTGTGATGGTTGCCAACTGGGCATCTTTTGCTGTTAGTAGTAAGAAATTAGTACATTTGAAGACCTAACCTTGGGCTCTGGGTAATTGGGAGGGTCCATTTTATAAAATAATCATTAAATGACAGAATAGCCCATAATAAAAAGAATTAATAGCTGCAGCCCTTGTAGTGTTGTCATGAGAAGTACTGTTTGGAATTTGAGTGCCTTGACTCTTAAAATATCTTGCCTTCTTTTTTTTCCACTGTGATATGATGTGCTTGGTATTATCTTTGTCCCCCTCTATCCTTTCTGTGTATCTGTCTTATCCGCTGCTGTTCTCTATGATCTCCGTAACTCAGTCTCCGTCTCTGGCGCTGCATGTGCAGTGGCAGCACAGACAGGGCTGTATGCCTTCGAGCAGACACCATGCATAATTCATGTGGCTCGGGCTCCCTGTTGACCCGAGTCCAAACAGTTGGCAGTCTATAACACTTCCACAGAAAAGCCCCAAGAAGAAGATGTTAAACTATAAGCAAAATACACTGATGTAAGATTTATCAAGCCACTCACAATGACAATGTAAACAACATAACTTTCAGACACCATCTGCCATCTCAGATATAGACGATAAGGATAGCTTAATGTGTGTGAAAACCTTTGAAGCAAAGACATGCACATACAGCCAAAGCAAGACTATGGATTACAATATAGAGACTTGAGAAAAGCTACAAACAAAGAAGATTTAATGATGAGAGATGGTCAGATTCTATGGCAATGCAACAGAGGAAACCCCTCAAAATTGAGTCAGTGTACAAAGGATCAGCTTCTAGGAGAGAGGATGCCCAGACAGACCATGTCGGAGCAACAGCAAACATCAACAGCCCTTTTGAGCCTTGATGTATAGTGTTTCATCCCTTAGACGATTTTTTCTGATTGGCAAAGGCATGATAGAAAACAGCAAAACAACCCCTTTGATTCCCGTATTCCTCCTCCTCCTCCGTCTCCTGGTCTTTGCTTCAAACAAATGTGCCACTAATAACTTTGCCTAACCCGACGGCGGCTGACTCACCAACGAATCATTCTTTTTATGTTAGGCATGTTAATTTGATTTGACATTCCAATGAGAAGTTTCATTCAGGAGCAGTTTTTTTTTTTTTTAACAGCAGTGTGTGTGCCTCTCTAGGAATGATCCCTAATCACTCATAACCTCATATAATCTCCAACTTGGAGTGCTGCTCACTGGGTGGCTTTCAGTTTAATCATGACTGTCGGAGCAATTAGTCAGCAACTGCTCGGGAGAAATGAGTTAGACGCTAAAATACCAAACTCTATCATCGAATGAATGGCAACCGTTTATGTAAGCACCAGTTATTTCAAAACAGTCTCATCACTGCTTTCGCAACCCACACCCGGAGTGGCGTTCAACAGATCATGTGCTGCAGCCATCTGCTCCTGACTAGGGGACTGCAGGGTTCTCATTGAGATCATCACTGATACCATCATCACCAACTGCTGGTCTGATGCTTTCTCCTGTTTCCTCATTTTTTTTATTATTATTTTTTTTATCTTCAACCAGGATGAGCAAACAGTGCCATGGAAACCAAAGAAATGTTTGCTTTTCTTGCCCATGTTTCATTGATTGTCAGAATTGAGCCTGTAAAGTATATACCAATCCTCAGAATTCATCAAAGTGCACATCTACAGCCTTGTCCGGAGGCCAACAGCTGCTAGCCCTCAGCTACAGTTCCCTCCACAATGTTTTTTAAGAGCTCTTCCAAAATGAAGACACTAGGAATCAGAGAAGAAACTAGAAAAGGCAAAAGAGGAGCTATATTTCAGTTCAATCTGGTATCACGCCAAAGCATGTAGCAGACCCGCCAATCCATCATTGGCTAGAAAAAAGTACACATTCTCATTCCGCAGTCAAGTTACTTATAATTAAATATGCAAAAAAAAAAAAAAAACGGTTCTTTTAAAATAAAACATGCTAAGAAACATTTTAGGTGAAGGTCATTGTTCGGTTACATAAGTGAAGTTGCTTACCTAAATTAAAATAAGTCGATGTTAGCTATGGTTTCACTAGAGAAATTAACCCCAGTCTCCTGTGTGAAAGTCCTGTGTTTGACCCACCCATCCACCCCAACATCCTCCTTTGTTGCTCTTTATACTACATTTGTCCTTTACTCACGTCATTATCGCCCCCTGCTGGTACTGCACCTTCATACACATAATGTACTTTCCATCCTCTAGTGGACTTGTGGGTCTATTACACTCTTTGGTGTAAGACAGAGTTGTTCAATCAGCCAACTCATAAGGAATGCAGCTATTTAAATGAATACAGAGTATACGCAGAGATGATTTTTAGTGTCTTCAGTGTGAATCCTTGCAAGAACACACCTTACTCAGCGTGTTTGGGAAGTGACAATAAACTAAATTCCTAGAAGTGCATGAGATACAGCTATAGGGCTATGATATGGAATCCACTATCTGTGGGCCAGTGTCCACCCTGCAACAAAGGATATCCAACCAATGCAGGCAATACACTATCTATACCATTGTGAATAGAGATGGATAAAGCTAAACCGAATAATCCATCTGATATGGAGGAGCAGGCTAAAATACGTCAGCA